GCTTACCTCTAGCATACATATAGGCACCATTTTGAAAAGCGTGTTTTGTATAAGTAGTTGTAATCGCTAATAGAGGAAACATCTAATTGTTTTAAGGTAAGTGTCCCATGGACCTAATACATTTCAAGAACATCAAGTATACATGTACGAATGCACCGCGTTTACCATAAATATTATTTTAGTTTGTGAGGTGTTTCTTGTTCAATATATTATATCTCAAATAGTATTTTATTTACATTGGGCTTAAAGAGTCTTTAATATCTGCTTTTCTTAAAAGACAAAACTCTAAAACGGTTAATGACTATATGAGTTTAGGAGTTGGGCAGTTCAGCTCCGAGTCTAATGTAACTGCTCAGAAATGTGGGTAAACCTTTCGCAACAGGGTGACCAAAGCAGCATCCGTTGCTCTGTGACGTATAAAATATATATCTGAAAAGCATTTTAAAAGTTGCTATTTTAAAGCAACATTTATTACAGAATTCACAAAAGGCTCTGTTCCTTCTCATTTAATTAGTAAAGCAGGCTGCTAGTTGCTTAGCACATTCCCTCTTTTTAGTATGCGTGGGTTTTTTTTTTGTTAATCGTGGTTGCCGATTCTGCAGATCGTGGTGGGAAATCTGTTACAGCGATAGCTGCATCCGTATTACCGTTATTTCTTGAGACTGGTCAACTCGTGGCTAAAGTACCGTTTAGGAAATGATTGATTTTTCGGGTATTTTAATAACGTCGCATTCGCCTTCATTGGTACCAAGTTTACAGGTAAAGTTCTTTGTTTGTACACTCCAAGTTAGTTGGAGAATAGCGAGCGATCGGGTGACGCACCAAAGCTTTTTCAGATGTTGAGTTTTAGATAAAGAATAAGACACAGTTATAAAGATCAATCAAATGATTTCATACAAAAGACAATTACTTATATGATTTTGTAATGATTTTTTTCCATTAATTTCTAAAACATGAATTGTTTCAACAGCACATAAGAAGATATTTTGTTTCCTCGAAATGAACACATATAGAAATCTTAAAAACTTCTTCATCGTTGTGGTATAAAAAGTCTTCGGTTCGCTTCATGTCCATTTATTGATTGATATAAAGAGTTTTTAACTGTTTATGCATTAACTCTCACATGCCGTTCTTAGGTAGAGTTATAATTTTCTTATGTTCCTTCTTGGGGTTCATTAGAATGATAAATAAATGGACTATAAGAACGTCTGTAAACAATCAAATTATTTTACTTTGATTTTCTTTAAAACTTTATATTATTATTGTATTATTATCCGCCTGAGTGGCCGAGTAGGCAAGAGTCTCGACTAGTAACTCAATAGTCGTGGGTTCAAACCTCAAGTGCGGTAGAATTTTTAATAAAAGCCGATAGCCCTAGATGCTAGTGCTTTAAGACTTTAGTCTTAGAATTTATTCTCTGGCTAAATTTATAATAATAATAATAATAATATTGTATTATTATAAAGTTCTGTGCTTTGATTTTGATTGAGTTACCGTTAGGGTCAATCCTAGACCTATGGCCTTATTGCAATAGTGTTCCAATAAAGATATTGCGCCTTATTTCGTCAAATACCGAAAATTTTGAAAGATATCTTGTTATGTGAAGAGGAAATAAAGTTGGGAGTTAGCAACATCCTCGCAATTCAAGTTTATGTACGAGGTTGTTTGCTTCTTAGTTTCATTCCCCAATCACTTCGTTTGTCGTGCTTCTCCTCCGCTTTCAATTATTTTCACTATTATAAACAAATAAGTAGAAGGAAAGGTGTATATATTTTGTTAAAACGTTTAGTAACAAGAAGAAGGTTTCAGACTCTTAATAAAGTCTATCTACTCTTTATTATTGTCAAATTGGAAATTCAGCTAAGCATGTACGTCTGTTTGTCTGCCCATCGGTCCGTCTACCCACCTGTGTATTATCTGAGGAAAACATTCCCCAAATTTAACAAAAATTGTTCGAAATTGTTGCACGCAGATTTTTCTCGAAAATGGGTCAAATGGGTTTGCTAAAGACCCACGAATTACAATAAATGTAACACAAAATTACCCGAGTATATTGAACCTACAAAATAGAAAAAATCAACTACGCCCACTTAGTATTACAGAGAATGGAGATTTGGATTTTTTTAATCTTTTTGAGGATAAAAGTGTCCGGTATCGTTCGTAATCGAATAAAATTTTTTTGTTTGTCAAATTTGATTGTATAACCATAGTTATGAAAAATATCTGTCTTTGCTCAGTTATGATTAGTTGTTATAATACTAACTGTCAATAATATGTAAATCGAGTGCTTTTATTAATTATAGAAGGGTGACTTGTTTTTCCAAATAACTTAAAAGATGTAAACAAGGAATTCTGTAAATGTAGAACTAATTAAACCCCATTACTACCATTCAAATTTATCATTGTTTCCTGCCATTTTAAGTGAAACTGAACTAACGACACCTCAAAGCATTGCATGTCAATATTTCGTTTGTCGCAGTGAACCATGAAAAGCTACAATAATTTCTTCTTCTTGGGCTCTAAAATTTGAATTGAACACGTAATTACAGTATGGTATTAATTGTGGCGAAGTTAATTCAATGGATGGATGGGTCGAAGGTATATAACGTTTTTGGAGTTTTGCAGGGCACATGTTGCTTCGATTCCATGCCTTTTCAAACATGCGTTTCTAATTGTTACTGGTCTCTTCAACCATTGCAATTGTCATTAAATTGTCTTAACTCTTCAAAATGGCAACGAAGCGAAGAGATAATTATAAGATATATATTCTCCATCATTCGAAGTTATTGATATGGTTACATAAAGAACAATCAACACAAAATAGACTTATTTTCATAACCCAAATCGCAACACAATAACTCGGTATTTACTTATTGTAATTATTAAAAAATATGGTTTTTCAACTCTTTTTGCGTAAGATTTGATGAGCAATTTTTGTAAAAATTCAAATTGTACAATATAAAAATGAACATAATTAACAAAATATAGGTTACTTGAATATGTCAATAATATTATTAGGATTATGTGTAAAAATGTTTTTATTATTGACGTTAGGTTTATTTATCCGGCTTGTGGTTGGATAACCACGTCGTAAAGAGACCTTCGTTTACATGAAAATATCTTCGATAAGCTGTAGTGTAGATATAAAAAGACTTAAAGCTAGTTACTTGTGCATTAACTATTATTTAAATGAGCAAATAAGGAGAAACATGTGTATTTTCAATTTTAGAACAATTATTTTTTTATATTTCTTCAAACAGTATTAAATATAGTTAAATATTGGCGTTAATTTTGGGATTACAATTATCATTTATGCTCTCACTTCGTTATTAGTTCGTACACGTACGTTTCAAATTTTCCATTAATAATGGAAATAAAAACTTCACGTTTAATCCCAAATCTATGCAATCGTGCAAGCATCCATTTTTTTTTTAATATTTGATACCATTTACTCGTCCGATTTCTTTAAATTTGCATTCCATTACTATTATCGTAGAATAATTTATTTCAATTTAATATTATTAGGCCCTTTTCCTTTTAACAAAATTTTATTATTCGCATTCCTTTTTTCGACAAGCAAACAATTTGCTCCGCCCCAAATGATCTCGAGACGAATGAAATCGATCAGTGATAACAGAAACATGTTCCACAAATGTATAATCATAGTCCACATATATAATTATATTCAATGTAGTTACTATTTTTAAAATACGTCCCAATCTCATATATAAGTGAGTTCATATATGTAAAACATGCGCTCTAAGAGAACGTGAGGATACCCCTCCCAACAAAATGGACGATATCCACCACGAGAGGCGTAACAATTGCATAGATTGAAGAATTTTTCTTAGGACTGTGACGACCGCTTTGACACTATGCTTAAAGCTTATATAAATGAGTCAGTAATTTATTAACTTGATTTTAATTATAATACTAAAACAATATCGTACGGATCGTAACGGTAGATATATACAACAATAACAACATAAACGTTTTCCTCTCTTGTATTCAACCAAGCGTCGTCTTAAATAATCGTGGTGAAATAGCCACACTTATGCACTACTCACTCTTTCGCTGTTGAGGTTCTGCCAACAAAGAGCAAGAGACCTGCGCATTGTTGACAACTCAAGCGACAGCCGAAACAAACTTGAGTGAAACTCTGTTATACTCAATACATATTAACCAAGAACGTATAAGGCATAGCGGTTTGAAGAAAATTTGCGTAAATTTTTAAGTCCAAGATTAGTACGAGAAGAAAAACAACCGGTCTGTTGAAAAATCAAGAGGACTGAACACAATCAACTCACTCGATTCTGATAGTGGTAATGATGCATGTTTTTGACTCGTCTATAGACACAATCATGTTGCTGGATTCATTTCAAATTAGAATGTGTTGCTAAAGTAGGAGGCTTTCTCACCGCAAACATTCTCTTGTTGCGTTCATAGCCGTGCTGACCGCTTCCATTGTTATTTTTATTGCGCGTACTGTTTTACGCGTCTGAAACATTCACATAACAGATTCGATTTCCCAGATTTACTGTTCAGCTATTGCCCTCCTAGTACATCTTATCGTCGGTCGCCGTCAACACCACCGTAGCCATTATTCACGTAGTCGCTATTGTTTTCCTCTAAAGCAAGTGTGTATTCGGTACCGTACATTTCAGATATCTTTAGCTCACATTTGGCGTAGTTTACAGAGCTATATATATGTATGCGAGCACATACATATATTTCTATGAATACACACATATGTGAATATACATATGTGGAGCACGTACACAATAGCAAATGTATAAACAAGCTCATGTGTGTTTGTATAATATTTGCGCTGGAAACGTCGAACGTGAAGCACACGTTGTGTGTGGTGCCATTGTTATTGCGAAAGTCGCGCGGTGTTTTTTGTTTTTTACATAAGTGACACGAATCAAATTCAAACCGCACGGGCTATTGAAACTGACGTTGACGGTGACTTAGAAATTCCTTCACTCGACAGTGTGAAAGTGTTTGTTCTTTTAGATACATTGATTACCGTATTATATTTCTTAGTTTATATCCGTTTATCGCCGACCTACAATGACAAAGCGTAGTACACGTTGTTATGTGCATTTTGCCGTCGCGTATCAAACAAAATTTTTTACAAATTATAAAGTGTTAAGTGGTCAATAAAATCAATTTGTAATAAATAATTAAAAGCAGAAGATTCGCATTCAGTGGAGAATTAAAGAAATATTTTACCGTTTTCAAAAACTTTTGCGTGTATGATATATGTACGTTTGTGAAGTTGTGTGTATTTTTCTGATGTAGGTTTTTTGTCAAAACGCTTAAAGGACATTTTAACTAAGTTTGATGCCAAGCAAAGAGTGTTTAGAAATCTTCACACAGTTAAGCGTTTATTGCGGAATATATTAAGTTTAAACTCTCCGTATTCTTAATGGAAGAACTATTATGGAATTTTTTTTAAATTGCTATTAATTAATTAACTGCGAAATTCTCATACCTGATGCACACATTTTATTGTATTGCTTCCATCCCGTTAATTCTAGACACTAAGCGAAACTTTTTGAAGTATAGTACTTTATTTTCTCAAGATATGTTCCTATCTTTGCAAAGCAATAAATTGCCCTTTCACTTCACTTCTGTATTAATCGTTGTGAAGTAGGTCCCTATTTTGCTTGTTTGATGTTGAAAATAGTGATCTATTGCGGCTATATTCATGGAAGCAAAAAACGGTAACAAATTGTGTGGACCATCGGAGTATATATAACTTTGCCACTCCGGAAGTTAACTTTGAAAGCCCCATAAAAATACAACGAAACCAATGCATAGACATATAAAGACTTTCTTTAAAACTTTTCAATCCGCAGGCGTAAGTGAATGCACGTGATTAAAGGAACTTATTTCAAAGTAAATTATATTTTTTTATTATACTCCATACTTGATCGATTGATTTATTTATATACATTCGCATACATTTGTTTCGGAAATTGTTTCTTTTCTTTAGAAAGCGACTTTTTGCTATGTCCGCAAATAATTCTATGTAATACATCTAATATCTAATAAATATCCCTTGTAGTGGTTTTGGTGGTGGAGCTGGTAGACAAGATGAGCAGCGTTTTTTATAAAATGAGAGTGAAACTAGCTCCGATGTTTTAAGAGAGTGCTAATTTAGATTTTTATGCATTCTCTGTTTAATTACTGTTTGAGCTTTAAAGGAGAAAGAACGTATTTTCGTAACTTCGTCGATAAAATCAAGCCTGTTATCGACTTCGACTAGCATATGTAGATCGCAGAATTTGGATATAGTTTGGATATGTTACGTATTGCCAGTACTGGACGTGCCAAACGAGCTGGATTTTCGATGAAAACTTGCAAGGTTTTGTTATGTAGTTACTCATAAGGCATTAATACTTTACTTGATATACGCCAGAAAACCTACAAGATATTTTTCACCACTAGTCACGGAGATCACATTCCCTGTCATCTATACCCCACTAGGCTCGTAGTGGAACAATATGAAACCGTCTAATAAGTCCGTCAATTGCACATGTAAATGGATCATTTTTGATTGTAACAACAAAGTGCTAATATTTGGCTTGTACTAGAAAATGTATCTTGTCGTACATATCGCACATATTTCAAGTTATATTTTTATTCATTTTGGCTACATCTTATGAGTTTGTGCAAAGAAACATATTTGCTTAGTCCACCTTATATATACCGTAATTCTGTATAATTTGTGGTGCCGCCGACGTACATTTCTGTGCTTTACAAGCAGATGGCATATTTAATCTACCCAGGGTAGTGGGTATAACAATAATGAATAAATAAAATGTTAATTAATACGGAAAATGATTTTATTATTATTATTATTATTATTTTAATTTTAGACTAATGAATTGAATTCTTAGACTAAAAAAAGAGACATTGAGCACTAGCAACACAGGCTATCGGCTCGAAAATGATTTTATTCAACAAAGTGTTCAACTTAACAAATTAGATTTTCGAGACATTTTTATTTTACAATGCTCAAACGGATAAACGCTACTACTTAAAAAGAATCGCATAGTAATTTAAGCTAAAATAAACAAATGAAATCTGACATATATTTACATGGCCTACTCTTAATCAGCATCAAACTCCGAATTGAAATGGTTTTTTTGCAGTAACTTAGGTGACAACAATGAAAGCACTATGAGAAGTAGATAGTGCGAAGAGGTGGATGTCAAGGTCTTTTTACTTTCTTATTGTTATTAAATTTGTTTTAAAAAGCTTTTACAGTTAACAGTATCTAATGCCTTTACAAAATGGATGCATGAGCATTTAAAAGAATAAAAAACATCAATTTTACGATAGCCATAGTAAAATGTAATGTTATTGCGGTTTTAAGAGATTTAAAGAATCTCGGGAAAATTTGTGCACGCGATAAATTATAAGATAATCTTTTAAATTCTTTAATTGAAATTTAAATCTTTCTCGTAATATTTGAGGTTTCGTTTTCACTTACATATAAAAACAACGATGATGGAATTAAAACACATTACATCTTTCAAAGTTTTATGTAATCCACCCCAAAGTTAACGCAAACTGAATGTAACTCATATTTTTGTCGAGATGTTTCGGTTAAAGAAGAGAGACGTGGTGTTCGATTTGCAAGAGTATTTTTATACATACCCTCCTTAAATTATTCTAATTTAAGATTTTTATGCAATCGGCATCTGATGATATATCATCTCTTTTAATGTTAAACTTTCATCTCCTATACATAAAAAAATGAATAGAATTGTAACAAGTCGACCTCTGTAACTTCCGATCTGCTTTTGTAATTAATTTCTAATTGAAGTAAAAAATATCCGATCACAAACTTCTGTAAAACTAAAAATAAAAATGTCTTAAATAGAGATTGTAAGACGTATTTTGCACAGTAAATGTTAACTGTAAATGTACGTGCAGCACCATCAACGCAAAAAAGTTACACCTAACTTCGGTTTTTCCAAACAAATAGCCTTCATTTGCGTTTTTATGCACGAACTTGCAATTAAACACCGGAACGAAACCAAAATGCTGGGAAAACGTGCGTCCAAGTTGTCACCATTATTAGACAGTGTCCTAACTGTCGAAAGTTTCTTTATGGTGGTCTCCTGGTCAGCCGCCACTAAAAGTCAAGCGCACCAAAAAAAAGATTATGGCTACCGGAGCAAAGACGGAATTGTGCATATTGATATGTTTAAACAATAATTGACCCGTGTAATGATAAACAAGGGCAAATAAACCCATGTGAAACCTGCACACTCAATGATCATTCAATTTGTATAGAAGGACCCGAAACGCTTAAATGTAAATTGCCACATATTCGTAAATAAAACTTTCTATTATTAACAAACGATCATACGATTAGTTGAGTCCCATAAAAGAAGTTGCGCGAGACTTGTCCTCAATGGCTAAATTATTGGTACAACCTCCGAAAAACCTCTGCGCATGTCTTTTTCTTATTGTTATTAAATCATCCCTGTAGAGTGTACTTATATCAGTAAAAATTTGGTTTATATATGCCTTTGAAAAATAAAGGTTGTTAGCAATGTTGTTGTTGTTGTTATCAATGAAATTAAAAGCAAAAAAATACGGAATACTATGTATGTTGTATCAGTTTCGGTCAACTATAATGCATATTTGCCCGATAAATTATATATAAACTTAAACAGCGGACGTTTACAAAAGAAAATTACGGTACTATTAATGAAAATTAAATGGCAGAATCTCAATTTGTATACGCATAAATTTATTGCAATGAATCATTTTATAAATTAGTAAGAATTGGGCCTACATGTTTAGTTCTGCCAAATGTTTAAAAAAGACGTTTGCACTTATAAGATCTTTCGAAAAAAAAAGGTATAATGGCAAATCGTTCATGCTATAGAGTGATTGTTTCGTGAGGTGTGTCGTAATTAGCGTTTTTATGCTGAAAATGAATCATGCTGAAATGATAGTATTAGATGTTTGTAAAAATTTTGATCACTTTTCCAATTGAGAAAGGAATTTATTGCGGAAAACAGGTACAATATATGTTAATGAAAATAGTTTCCATCATTTTCTACAACATTTTACAATGTTTTTGACAACATGACGATATCATGTCGAAAGAACATGTATTGGCTTGGCAGCGATCCACCCACAGACTCATTTTAGCTCTTTTTCAACTTTGTAGGCCCGCGTGCCGGCTAGCCCATGCTGCATCGATCTAAGCAAGCGGTTATCAGGAGGCATCTTGTCTGGTGAGTACGGTGGGTATGGCAGAACATCTCGTTCGAATTGCAATGTGGTATCCTAGATATAAACCTCTCAACGTATTTGGTGGGCTTCGACAGCAGATTTCTTCAAATAAATAACAGAAGTAATGAATTTGAAAGGAAAAAAATTGTGAGCGACGGCGTAGGCTAAATAAATAATTAATATTAAACTTAACTTTTGCGTAGAGGAAATTCAAAAAACATTGAATTGAACCTTTATGTGCACTGGTATACCCCATTTCTATGGCATTTTTACTTGTAGAAGCCGCTGACCAACATCAATTCAAGCCAAAAAAATTTGTCAACCTGGCTTAGTATTCACTCAATCCAAGATCTAACCACCAGCATTTTCGAAAAGATGTTAATTCGCTAGTTTAAAACTGCGCCAAACCATCACTCCTTTTGTTCGGAGAGTTTCTTTAACTGTTTCTGTTAGATATTCGGAGTTTTGAAAGCGATAGTTTATTTGACAGAGGGCAATGAAATTTATTACTTAAAATAATTTTGTTTAAAAACTCGTAGTTTCTTTCATATATTTTCAGTACCTAATCAGCGAATATACCACAAATGTATCTGAAAGCTCATAGATTTTAGTTGTTAAATGTCATCACAGTGATAATTGAAAGTCGACAATACACTGTTTAAAATCACGCAAAATTTAAAGTAACACGTCTTATTGAAAAACTTTATACAAGCCCAGATATATATCTATGTGAGTACAGGCCCATTCCACTCGGCTCCCAGATTTTTATTTGATCATTATCGTTAAGGCAACCAAGCTATGTATGCAAGTAAGCCAGTTTCGAAAATATGACGGAAACAAAAAATCATAACAATACAGTTTTTTAAATGTATTCCTCTCAGCCAAAGCATATAAAATTTTATAGATTTAAATGGTGCCAACGTTAGAACGTTAATGAACGTTAATGGTTAATAACTACCAAAATTGGAAAATATTGTTCATGTGATAGCTGCATATATTG